ACTGAGTAGTATTTTATAAGCTATGTGTTGAAATCCTAACCGCTGTACCTGTAAACATGATTCTGTTTAGAAAAGGGGGCGTGCTTTTGTTATGTTAATATGGTCAGACCCGTGTAGGGTAGATCCTAAACCTAATCACTTCTGAACAGACACAGATGGGACAAGGGATGGGAAGGTGGGGAGATAGGATGTCGTATGAAGCTCTTCTACAAGCCAAGGAATGCCACCGCTACCAACAGGAAGTAATCAACTTGGTTGCGACTCTGAATCGGATATTTAGCCTCCAGAACTGCATGAATACAACTTTCTGTTCTTTACAGCCACCTGCTTCCGGTGCACATGCTGCAGCAGCAGGTAACATCCGGGAACAAGTCATCGAAACTAGTCAGATGAAGAACTGCTGTGGGGAAGTGGGATAAGCACTGGACCACAATGTTGGTTTGAACCAAAAGCTCGGTGGTTCAAACTCACCAGCAGGTCCTTGGAAACCCTCTGCAGGGTCACTATGAGTCAGAACCAACTCAAAGGCACTCACAGCAACAATTTTAATATCAGTTTGAATCTATTACTGATGAGGCATCTTCACCTTTTTTTCCCCTAATGTTGATGGCTCTTTTCTCAATATTACAATATTAATTGGACGATTTTTTAAAATTATTGCATCCAATTGTTGTTGTTGTTGTTAAGTGCCTTCGAGATGGTGCCAACTCATAGTGATCCTATATAGGTTTCCAAGGAGCGGCTTGGTAGGTTTGAAGCACCGCCATGCCATAATGCCTATAAAATATATAGAAGAGGAAACTTATATATTGATTGTTGTTGTTGTTGTTAAGTGCCGTCGATTCGGTTCTGACCCATAGCGACCCTGTACAGGGTTTTCGAGGCTGTAAATCTTTACGGGAGCAGAACGCCTCATCTTTCTCCCATGGAGCAGCTGGTAGTTTCAAACTGCTGGCCTTAAGGTTCACATCCTGATTTGTAACCACTACGCTACCAGAGCGCCTTTATATATATATTGTGGTGGTGGGTATATTTTATTAAGTCATGAAGTCTTTCAATTGTTGATTTAGGGAGACATTCTAAGAAGTACAAGAGTTGTTTTTTGTTTGTTTAAGGAGAACACTTAGGTACTCTTCTTCAAATAATGTAATTTATGTAAGGGGAAGTTACTTGGCCAAGACTGCCTCGTCATATTTTCCTTTGTTGGATTAAGAAATATCAGAGCAGACAATAGAAGAATCTCTGATGGTATAAAGAGGGAGCTAAAGTCAGTCCAGTTGACACCAGTGGCACAAATGGTTAAGCACTTGACTACTAACTAATCTTAAAGGTTGGCAGTTCAAATCCATCCTGAAGTGCCTTGGACGAAAGGCCTGAAGAGCTACTTCCAAAGATCATGATCAATGACAATCCTATGAAGTGCAGTTCTACTCCGATATATAGGGGCCGCCATGAGTCAGAACCAACTCCACAGCAACCATTGGTTGTTATTGTCATGGTTTAAAGGCAGCCCTCATGAATATCTGACTCTTATTCTTACCAAGCCTACAAACATATCCACATCTAACGGCTTACTTCAAAGACAACAATGTTTACGGGAGCAGAAAGTCTCATCTTTCTCCCGTGGAACGGCTGGTAGTTTCGAACTGCTGACCTTGCGGTTAACAGACCGATTCGTAACCACTATGCTACGAGAGCTCCTTTCAAAGACAACAGCTCCTTTCAAAGAGCACATAGAAATACTACTTTGTTACACAAGTAATCATAAGTAGGAAGTATTACATAAATAAGTCTGCAGTCTAGAGGATGAGGTCAGCACCCCACAGTCTGCAGGCAATATCTGGCCCCCCCAAGCATTTTTGGAAATAAAGTTGTATTGAAACACAGCCATGCTCATTCATTTTTTTTTTTTTTTTTACTGTTTTTACTACGCACAGTGATAAAATTCAGTAGTTGAAACAGAGATTATATGCTAAAATATTTACTATCTGATCCATAACAGAAAAAGTTTGCCGACTCTAGGCTAGAATTTAGACACCTGGCGTGGTACTGTGGGATAAAGCACAGGACTGCAAGGTTGGTTTGAACCACAAGGTTGGCGGTTCAAACTCACCGTCCGCTCATTGGAAATCCTATACACAGTTGCTATGAGTCAGAACCGACTCAGCGGCAAACAACCGAACAACTGGCTAGAATTTGGGGCTGGACTTAGAGGTCTAGGAGTTTTTTGGATATCCCTAAATTCAGACCAAAAATTTGAATTTCGCTATTGTTTATATGACCTCAAAAGGGGACAGAATCTAATGAAATTGAAGTTAACAGAGCAAAATATGTTCAAGAGAGAAGAACACGTTGTTGTTTGGTGCCGTCGAGTCAGCTATGACTCATAGCAACCTCAGGATCCAACAGAGGAAAACATTACCTGGATCTGCGCTATACTGATGGTGGCTGCTACTTGAATCTGTTGTTGCAGCCAATTCATCTCTTCCAGAGTCTCCGTCTCTCTGTGGTTAGCAAGCAAAGAACGTGAAATCGTCAAAAATACATATGTGGGGGGGAGAAAAGCCACTTTCCTTACAGTTCCTGCTTCACAAAAGAGGAAAACAAAAGGTTACTCCGAAGGCTGTGGTTAGCTAACCCAAGGAAGTACCCTGTCTTGTTAGGTTTCCCAAACTCAAGTAAATATCACTTTTCCCTAGAAAACCACATTGCTTTTAAGCAAGAAAGCATTTCAATCAGCCCACTCTACTTCTCTAATCGTGAATTTCCCATCATTCCTCTATTCACCAGGCATCCTGGCAGAGAACTGGATTAAGCCGTGAGTGGGCTGTTAACTAAAACACCTCACTAAGAGTCCAGTCATGTGGATTTTTCCCCCTTTCTCCTCCTTGATGAGTTTCCTCAGGATTCTATAACAAAGTGCTACAAAATGTGTGCCTTAAAATAACAGAAGTGTATTCTCTTACAGTTCTGGACAATCCAAGTCTGAATTTAGGGCTCCATCACTCTTCAGAGGTTCTAGAGGAAAATCCTTTCTTGCATCTTCAACTTCTGGTAGCCCCAGGTGTTTCTTAGGCTGTAATGCAACATTAACTCCATCTCTTCCTCTGCTGTCACTTGGCCATCTTCCCATTGTGAGTCTCTCTCTGTATCTTGTTTTATTACAACACCAGTCATATCGGATTAGGGCCAATGTTACACCACTGTATATTCATGTTCACTTAACTGGTGCAATTTGAAAGAGCTTATTTCTAAACAAGTCACATTTATAGGGTAATAGGGGTTAGGACTTCAACACACTGTTATGGATTGGATTCAACAATTCCATCCATAATAATACCCCATCTCCATTCAAATGAGCACAAAAGAATAAATACGTAAGTTATAAATCAACACACACATACATTTAATTGCAATCAATTTTATTCAACCTTCATATCTGAATTTCCAGATGACTGAAAGTAATATGTGAAAATTGAAGAAATAGGGTGAAAGAAAGCTGAACTTAAATATACCCAAAATGTGGGAGCTGAATTATCTTCCAAAAGACAAGAGAGCTCTCCGGAATTCAAAATACACAGGGTGTTGGAAGACAGGAGGAGTGATGGATTACAATGAAAACGAGGGGGTGAGTTGAAAGTTTGATTTGAAATATTTGGATTTCCCAACATACTTGAAGAATTAGTAATAACAGGAGACCACAACCAAAAAAAAACTATTGCAAGTTTTTCTTTTTGTTGTTAAAGTGTCATTGAGTCAGTTTTAACTTATAGTGACCCTGTATAGAGTTCGAATCCACTGTTGTTTTTAGGTGCCATCGAGTTGGCACCGACACATAGCAACAACGGAACGAAGGCTACCCGAAACTCTGCCCCAACCTCACAATCGTTACTCTATCTGAGTCCATTGCTGCTGCCACTGTGCCAATCCATCTTGTTGGGGGTCTTCCTCTTTTTTCCCAACCCTCCGTTTTACCAAACATGATCTATCCTTCTCCAGTGACTGGTCCCCCTTGATAATATGTCCGAAGTATAAGAGACAAAGTCTGGTCATCCTGGCTTCCAGGGAGCACTCTGGCTGTACTTCTTCCAACACAGATCTGTTGGTTCTTTTGGCACCCGTGGGCACTTTTAATACTCTCCTCCAACACCATAACTCAAGTGCATCAAGGCTTCCTTATTCACTGATGAACTTTCATATGCATATGAGGTTATTGAAAATGCCATAGTTTGAGTCAGATGCACCGTAGTCCTCAAGCTGATATCTTTGTTCAACATTTGAAAGAGGTCTCGTGCAACAGATTTACCCAATGCAACATGTCGCTTGATTTCTTGACTGCTTCTTCTATGAGTGTTCTGACCCACAGCGACCACATGTAGAGTTTCTGAAGATCGCTGGTGGGTTTGAACAGCCGATCTTGAAGTTAACAATCCAGTGCTTATCCTACAGCACCACACCAGGACCCCTGGTTCTCTCTTTAGAGATAGTAACTAACTCTTGAGAACATTCCTCTGCATTCTGGCGTTGAGATAGCTTCTTCTGTAACTGTATACTCCCTGTGTGATCACATCACACTGAATACAATTACCCACAAACCCAAGAGAGGACTCTGGGGGTGAGAACAGGCAAGGCCACGTGACTTTTGATTGCTAATACAATGAAGACAATCTCTGTATGGCATCTCTTCTATATTCCGTCCCATTTGGAGGTGTTATCTGACCCAAAGATGAAAAATTGATCTCCATTAGATACTGGTTTAAGGAAAACACTCTGTTCTGATTTGAGACATGAACAGGAAGACAGATCTCTTCTTGGACTCCACTCAGGAGTGATCCGGAACTAAGTTGTCTATGAAGAAATAGATTCCTGTTTCTTATTGGGCAATAGATGTAGAAATTCTATGATGAGAGGCTCAGTTCTTACGCTTGTCTGAGATCTTCCTGTGTTGTTAGAGACCGTCTCACTACACATGTGTATCAAGAGAAGAGCACGTCAGCATCATGGTCCCCAAAGTCACCAGCCTCCTCTGCCTCGGTGAGTCTTGAAACAAAAGTGGATTGAAGTGGATGACAGGATTAGAGGGGCAGATGATGGAATCCCAAACTAGTCAAGGTCTCTCTTAACAGGGGGACTGAGTGCTTTTGCTGGTTGTCAAGGAGATCTGACTTTCTTAGTGGAGAAATGACTCTTTCGTAGATCTCGGGTACCCCTCCCTGTCTCTTCCCAAGTCCAATTTAGCTTTCTGGATTGGGGTTCCGCTGTCTGTATTCAGTCTGTGGAAGATTTCCTGGGGAGCCATGGTGGTTTCAGCATTCCTATCGAGGGGCAGTATCTTACTAGAAAAAGAAGCCAAAGGGTGACCCTCAAAGTTGTGTTTGTTGATGAAGAAAAAATCACTTTTTCCCCGTGTATGTCGTTATTTGGAATGGTTTGTTATAAGATTAGACAACTGAGAGTTAGTTATAAAGAAGAGACTTTCAAAGCCCATGTGTCATCATTATGGTGTCTCTGGTGTCATCATTGTTACTGTTGTTGTTAATTACTGTTAAGGTGAAATACTCTCATACTGGCTGTAGGTTAGCAGTTCAAACTCACTTAGGGACACACTGGAAGACTTGCTGGACAGTCTGCTCCCGAAAAGCCAAGACAACCTTCAGGAGTGGTCCTGCTCTGCACACATAGGGTCTCCAAGAGTCAGAATCAACTAATCGCCAACTAAAAACAACACGTCATTATTTGGATCGTCTGTGGTTGAGATTAGAAACAAGAGGATTAATTTTCACTAATTTCTCTCTTATCCAGTGCTCTGTCTGGGACAGAGGATTCCGGCACAGGAAGGTAAGTGTTTCCTAAAGCTCTTAGAAGCCTCTTAGACGCTCAGCTCTGGGTTAACAGGACTTGAGGGACAGTCTAGCTCAAGTGAATTCCTAGTCTGTTGCCCATCCTAATTATCCGAGTTCCCCTTACCAACTTTGCATAGCATATTGACACCCCTCACACCTCACAGGCATCGTGCACAGACCTGAATTGGCAAGCACCGTCTCCATTAGCCTGTTGTTCGGTCTGAGACCTCTACTTTACTGAATGTCACAAAAGTCAGGTTTAGGACAGTCAGGAGGCATCTCCTGATCACCCAATATCCAGCCCTATATAGAATTGCTCTTTCTCACATCCAGTTTTCCCGTCCGTGCATTTCAATTTATTTAAAGGGACACTGCCTAATTCCGAGGTCGTTGCTGCTGTTAAGTGCCGCCGAGTCGGTTCCGACCCATAGTGACCCTGCACAGGGTTTCTGAGGCTATAAATCTTTACAGGAGTAGAAAGCCTCATCTGTCTCCCACAGAACAGCTGGTAGTTACGAACTGCTGACCCTGAGGTTAGCAGCCCGATTCATAACCACTACGCTACCAGAGTAATTTTTCCACCTCAGCTACTGGTGTGGCACTGTAGGGTCAGCAGTTCAAGCCCACCAGCTGCTACTCAGAAACCCTTTACAGGGTTGCTATGAGTCGGATCCGACTGGATGGCACTTCTCAACAAGAGGAGTGAACTATACATCCACCGGCTCACCTACTTCCTTCTAAACCATACAGTCTGGATTTTTTGTGTTTTTAAGATTCAAATACGTTATCTTCCTCTCAAAACTCTTAAGTAGTCAACCTTCAGAGAAACCCACTGAATCTGTTCAGGGCTCTCCAAAGAAACAGAACCAGTAGCAGGCTATCCATATCTATCTCTGTCTCTATCTATCTATCTATCTATCTATCTATCTATCTACATAAAGAAAATGAGTCCCAAGCAAGCATAAATAATTAAGGGATAGGTTGCTAAACATAAGGCTGGTGTTTACGCAAAGTCCTGAGACAGGAATTCTACTTCTGAAAACTCAGCCACTGACAATTCTGTGGAACACAGTCCCATTCTGATGCACATGGAGTCACCAGGCACTGGAATTGACTAATGATAATTTTGAGACATTTGTGACAGCCTTAGCTTGATGGGACTGCCTTGTTTTTCTGGGTCTTGTAAATTTTCTACCTTTGACAGGGAACAGGTTTACCACTTTCCTATCACTCATTTTAAGGGAAAAATATTTCAGTTTTCTTTCTAATACAGGTACCTGATTGTGCAAGTTTATATAAATGGATAGAGACTAGCTAGCTAGCTAGATATCCCGAAGATATATCAAGTTTCCCAAACTTGACACATTTGGGATATATATATA